CCTGTGACAACATGAATTGGAACTAACACATCCCCAACAAGATGATGCCTAAACCACCCCATTACAAGCAAAAACTTTACTGCCATAAAACGATGCCTAATGACTCAAAGCGTTAAGTTCTCTTTGAAAAAAAAAAGGCTCATCTTTCTTCCTATGGGGACAAAGCAGCAAATGCAGCGAAAATACTTACACTGTGATGCCAGCAACACCGACAGGGAAGCTGGCAAAACCAACCCTGCTACTGTACAACAGGATATTGATGACATAGTACTGCTACAGCCTGACGGGGAAAGTAACATGAGAATTGCATCAGCGCTTATTAAAACCGACCCTTGGCCGCGAAGTCGCGTTTCACACATAAAGCAGTTTTCACTGCTCCAGCTGGCCTTGGGAGCAGCTCTTGAGGATCAGGAAGGGGCAACACCGTCACCGTGTGGCCGAAAGCAGCCATGTCACAAGAACGCGATACACCGAGTCCTGCCTGCCATCCCGAAAAGCAACTGCTTGCTGCATTTCCTTCCTTCATCACTCAGACACTCCGCAGGATGCTGAATTCACGTGAAGAAAGCACGGATTCATATGGGTACCTACGGACTTCTGCTATTTCCCCCCTGTGCAGTACATGGCATCATACATTAAACTCTATAAAATCCATACATGGATTATAGAATCACAGAATCCCAGCCTGGTTTGGGTTGGAAGGGACCTTAAAGCTCATCCAGTTCCAACCCCTGCCACAGGCAGGGACACCTTCCACTAGAGCAGCTTGCTCCAAGCCCCTGTGTCCAACCTGGCCTTGAACACTGCCAGGGATGGGGCAGCCACAGCTTCTCTGGGCACCCTGTGCCAGCGCCTCAGCACCCTCACAGGGAAGAGCTTCTGCCTAAGAGCTCATCTCAGTCTCCCCTCGGGCAGGTTAAAGCCATTCCCCTTGGCCTGGCCCTAGAGACCCTTGTCCAAAGCCCCTCTCCAGGCTTCTTCTAGATTACACTGCAGTTATCCCCAATCCTCCCCATGTTTTTCAGGTATTAACAAGACTACAGCTACCATACAAAGGTGTGCTGGGGGGGGATGAGAACAGGGAATGTGCACTGACAAACACCAGTGGAGTGACAAGGTTGGGTCAGAAACAGATTGTGGCCCTACAGTTCACCACTTGGCTTGGCACTGATAATGTTCTTCCAAGCAGCCAGGTAGAAACAGGCTGTTTTCAAAGCTTTGCTTCAAATCACAACAAAACGTCTTTACAGCTCACACCCAGGTAATATGCCAAGCAATAGGAAATGAGCTCTTCTTGCTGCAGCAGTCCCTGGGTCAGCTTCTAAGCAGCTCCATGTACACCAAGGAGCAAGAGGAGTGCACCTTCTGCAACAAAGATGGTCCTCTCTGCCTGGGCATGTCTCCTCTCCAGGCAGAGCTCACAGGAAGCGGCAGCATGCAGTCCTCCAAGCCTTCACATAAAACCATAGAGTTAGGGTTGGAAGGGAGCTTAAGATCATCTAGTTCCAACATGCTGGAACTTTCCTGACCAGGTAAATCATTGAAGTCATCCCAGGCCCAGCAAGTGGTTATTCACCAGTGTGAAACAGCCTGAAGTGGCTGGATGCAGGAGACTAACCAGACAGGAACTCCTAGTGACTTCCTATCTTGTGCCTAAACTTCCCAAACATCCCTGAAGGGATTTGTAGTATTTGAAAACACTATGGACGGTTCCCAAGAACAGTTTGGGTTTTCTTCATTTGTTCTCCTGTTGCTTTACTCAGGCTGCCTGGATCTTCAGGGTCTTTTTACTGGGTCAAGAGAGGAGTTATCCAGATTTTCAGTTGAAGCAGTGCAGCCCCAGATGATGGAAGCAGCAGTAACAGCCTTAAGACTGTGAGCATGCAAAAGGTGCTGACTTTGTGCTGGAGCCCTTTAGACACTACAGAAGATCTAGGAAAAGCCTGAAAGAAATCTGTGTAAATGTTTAGTTGCATTTCCTAGTGATGAAGACAGTTTCTTCCTTGGCTCCTGCCAACACCACCTTTTCCCAATGTTGTTTAACATGCCTGAGAGCTAGCACCTTCCACACAAGGCACATCTGCATTTCAGAGACTGGCAGAGAGAAGCACCAAGAATCACCCAGATGAATGCCTGTAAACATCTACAATATTCATGTTTCCCAGTGCTTCCAAATTGCTTTCATTGTAGCGACAATGAAAACTCTAGTCTGAGCACTCTCTCCTTTGCATACAGGTACCTGCCTTTCCCTAACAGCCAGGAGTTGTGACTACACATGGGGAGACAACCATACTCCATGTGTCACCCCATCCTTCGGTATCCTGAGCGACTGGCCTCCAAACCACTGCAGTATGAAACATTTTAAAGTGTACTTTGTGAGAATGGCTGTGACCGAATGAATGATTTAGTAACAAAGTGTTTGGAGTGAAGCAGTTGAGTAAAGCTGCAGAGGGCATGAGCAATGGGGCTGGATTTGAGCAGCAGCTGCTCCACATTTGTAGAATAATAGATCTGATGAACATATTTGTGAGGAAAACTGGGCACAGCTGGGATGCAGCTCAAACGAGAAACAGCAAATTGGGAGCAACTGCATCGAAGGGCTGGTTTTCAGACCAGCTCCACTAAAGCTGTGTGTAATTGGGTTTGGGGGTTTTAATGTAATAGTTTGGCAGACAAGGGAAGCAGGGAGAAAATGCCTGTGTCTGAAGTAATCACTATGTAAAGGTCTGTAGCAGAGTCAGAAAATCAGTGTTCTTTTAGAGTATAGAAGTAATTCAATCGAGTTCAATAAAAACTATATGAACAGACATATTTAAGAGAAATTCTGTGCTTTTCCAGAGAAACACCACACATTAAAGCTCATGGCATACTAAGTACAGATATTAAATCATCAGGGCAAACTTTCAGCTGCTGTTACACCCAAAAGGAACCTACAGTTTGCACCTTGCCTTCTAAAAGTCATCTCAGGAGTGGATGTTGCACAGCACAGGAGTCAAGATTTGCACAAAGCTGTTGGAAAAGCACGTACCAATGGATTACTGGAGATTCAGTGCCATAAAAACATAACTGTGCCACAGTTATCAGTAAACTGCATACAACTGAAATTATATTTCTGAAAGATATGAGGTGAAATAATATTGTTTCATCAGCTTGGGAGATTCCTCAGCTTAGTTCCACTAAGCAAAGCCAAAACCAAATCATACAGGCACACCTATGTTGGATCAATAGAGATAAGAGTCCTTGCAGGATGGAAACAGCCCTGATCACTGCTTCCTAGTGTAACTCATTAACTACGGATAGCCACATTCCTGAGGCCATCTCCCACCAGTACCAGGAGGCTGCCTCATGAGCAGCCCCCACACTGTACTGATGAATGGGGACAGCCCATTCTGGGTGCAGGACTCTGCACTGCTCCTTTCCTTTCTCCACTGTATAATGAGCTACAATCCTCTAGTCACCCTTACTCCCTTCCAGACCAGAAAAAAACTGATTGAAACCCCATGTAGTTAGCTATTTTCCCCCTATTTTGATCTATTTTCTTTTACTGAGAAAGTAAAAGGATGTCCAGCCTCCCCAGACAAAGCTGTTGGATAATTTGGGACATCACCAGTTCCTTATTTCACCACGTATTTCCAAAGAGCTAATAGATTGGCATAAGCAAGAACAGCAAAAAGCACTGACATTCCATCAAACATTCAAATACAGGGGTGAGGGTGGTTATTATTATAGCTGTAACCAAAATGATTTGGGAAATGCTTTTCAGAGAGGAGATGAATATCCAGAGGAACTTCCTCCTCTCTGGAGAGAAGAGTCCCTCCAGGTAGATCTGTGCTCTGATGAGGGAGCTGGATCCCTCAGCAAGTAAACATGTTTTACCAACACCATGGAGTGAGTAAGCAGCTTCCATGTTCCTCCTGTGCACCCAAGCTAGCAAGAAGTGAACACACCTGAATCCCTTCACTAAACTATACTTAATATCCACTATTTAATTAAGTCTTAAGCTAAATGACTTGGGGGAGAAAGAGCACAAGTTAATTAAGAGATCACCCTGGAGGATATAAAACCCCTTTGACAGAATCATACATAATATATGAAAGGCAAAGCAAAAGGGCTCTAATTTCAGATTGGCTCCGGAATACCTCAAGCCTTATGCTGTCTGTATTGATTAAGTGTGTTTGAAGTCAGGACATCTCATGCCTCCACATACAAAGGCTTTATTTACAACTACAGCTTTAGATACATAGTGCCAACACTTAACAGACTCAGGTAGAGCAGGTGAAATGGATACTGCTATGTCATTTTTAGATGCAGTACCTTTGAACCCTATTAAAAATAAAATAGGCTTTCATTAAAGCTGCAGCCTTCATCTAAGACGGTTGCAAGCACTAGTTGTTAATTATAGATTAAACATTGCCACAAGACTTTGTACTTGAAGCTAACCCACATCAACTGAGCTCCAAGCTCAGCATTTGAGAATTCAAAGATCACACAGCTTCACGCACATTCAAATTGTTTGCACGTACTTGGATTCTCTTGCAAAGAGGCTCTTTGTGCACATCACCCTATAGTAGCATCACGCTCATCTTACAACTACTCCTGCTAGATCTGCTTACACTGCTACACACAATCCTCTCATCCACTTAAAATTATTTCCTTTAGAGCAATTAGTAATAATAGATAGCTGTTAAATCATTATTTCTACACTAATATTGTTTCAAACATGCCTTCTAAATATTTTTATTCAGCCCAAAGAGTTACTGACATTCCAAGAGCTATTTATATTCCTGAAGCAATAATATAAATACCAATTCAACTGCTACAAGGTTAAGGGATTGTGTATCTTAAAAACCATAATATTATTAAAGACTTCAAGGGTTTTGTCATGATTGCTACAAAGCACCAGCACATTCCCACAAGCCACTGCAGAAGAGCTACTAAGAAGCTTGCGCTGGAGAAACAGGATTAAGACCAATGATGAAAACTGAGCAACATTTTCCTACCTGATGTCACAACAGCTTGGAATCTCAGGGTTTACAGTCAGGCAGACTAACAGGACAGCTCTCTCAGGAAATCCTCCAAGCAGGGCTATAGGCAGAGGAATGCTTTATAGACTGTGCTTTGTTTCTGTTAACCAGCACAGGGCTGAGGAGTGACCCCCACCCCTCCTCAGGTGGGATCCAACAGCAGGATGAGGATGAAGGGAAGAGTCTGAGCAGCTCATGAGGCTCTTGTTAGTTCATTAGGAAGGGAGGAGGTAGGGGGCTAGCTCAGTGCACTGAATGACATGAACCTTGAGTGAAAAGAAGGTGCATGGTGTTTCTCTGTATCCGTAAGGTGCAAGTTGAGCAGGCTGCTGCTACCACCCTCGTTCAGAGAAAAAAGAACAGGGTGCTCAGGTTGCTTGAGTTTAGGGAATGAAAGCACACAGAATTCCTCAACATTTGCAGGAGAGAGGAAAATGCTTGAGGATCCTGAGTTACTGAGGAGTAGAGCAGGAGAGCTCCAGTAACCATTCAGGGCTGAGCAGCTGCAGGATTTACCCTACTCACTTGGTTCATTCTTTTCTATGCTCAAGCCTCCTCTCTAAGTGGTTTTATGTACAAGTGACTGACTCTACATGAGGTAAAGTGCAACAAGAGTAGAAAAAGATATGGTTCCAAACTGAGATCCTTCTTCTTTCTCAAATTCTGACACACACATGTCCATGATAAAGTAAAATTTATCATTTCCTCCCAGTGCCTAAAGGGGCCAACAAGAAACCGGGAAAGGGTTTTTTGGCAAGGGCCTGTAGTGATAGGACAGAGGGGAGATGGAGATGAGCTCTTAGGCAGAAGCTCTTCCCTGGGAGGGTGCTGAGGCGCTGGCACAGGGTGCCCAGAGAAGCTGTGGCTGCCCCATCCCTGGCAGTGCTCAAGGCCAGGTTGGACACAGGGGCTTGGAGCAAGCTGCTCTAGTGGAAGGGGTCCCTGCCCGTGGCAGGGTTTGGGACTGGATGAGCTTTAGGGTCCCTTCCAACACAAACCAGGCTGGGATTCTACGATAACCTTCTCAGGCACTCTCCTCTATTCTGAATTCCCATGGCAATCCTTCCGAAAAGGGTCTGCACTGTCACTGCAAAAGCACAGTCATTCCATCTCCAGAAAGCAGCAGGTCAGCTCAAGTGTTGCTATCTGAAAGCTGGTAAATTCCACTGAGCTGCTTTTCTAAGGAAAAAAAAAGACAGAGGAAACTCAATAATATTGTAATGAAATGATGGCAATCACTGCAGTTTGTCTTCAATGTGGATTTCCCCCAGGCACATCCTGCCTGCATTAGATTTTTGTCTATAATATGTTGCTCTTACAGAGTCTGTTACTACACATGGAAAAAAATTCCAGCCCTCACTGTTTAATATCCTCGAAGAATCATGTTCTTGGGGGCAAAACAATGCTTAAATGCTTCATCCAGAAATGTAAACAGCTGAGTTCTTACCTCAATGACACAGTGAGAACTCTGTTAAGGACTCGGTTTTTCAACCTTTACACATTTTTATGCTTCTTGTTTATCTTACTAAATACCTGGCAAGTTGTTCCACCTGCCGTAAGTGTAGAAGCCACCCCTCTTATAGCAAAATTTAAAGAGATGTGCATGAAAGAAGAGGAGCAGCGTATTAACAAAGCATGCTCTGGTATCTTCACAGCACTCATTGACACTGTGCAGGGCCACGCTCTTGGGTTTCCTGCTGACTGGGATGTGTAGGCAAATATATGTTGTAAATGTGTTGGTATTCCTTAATGACAAATGCAGAAAGCTCATGTTATCACAGGCAGTCTCCATAATCTGTTCCCTTATGTTTCTATTGGAACTTAAGGGCAAGAATGTTAATTCAGCTGCACTAAACATCAGATCACTTAGCACTTCTAATAGGCTTTATTCCTGTGTCTCAAACCAGTTAAACAGAGACCTACAGCATATGCAGCGCATCCTTCCTCTTCTGTTTAGTAACAGTGAAAAACAATCCGGAGCGGCAGCCATAAGCTTGTGTTTTAAATGAACTCAGTCTCTATTTATTTTACCTTCTACTCTTAGTAGTAGTAGTAGACACCAACATCAAACAATTATAAATGGGAAAGCAGAAAATAAAACTTTACTCTTCCCATGATATTCCTTCACATGTTTTGCAGAACTCTGGATGTGAAGAGTTACCAATGCCTTCCTATAGCTAGCGTGGGCTGGTATTTGTATAGATAGCTGGTATTCTCTCATGAGAATAAAGGGGAGAAAACCACTGTAAGATAAGAAAATCTCATTGTAAAGCCATAAAACTGGCTCTAAGAATATTTTTAGTGACCTGAAGGTATTCTCCAATTACTTTAAAAGACTTCTTGTATTTCCAGTTGATTGCATCTATTCACGACTGTGCAGTGGTAACAGTATGGAACACCTGCCTCCGTACAGTACTTTTTCTCTAAGTAGGAAAAACTACAAGCAAGAATAGACTTGGAATTGAATTGTAAAAGCAGAACAAACTACTTTTGTCCCCTGGGAAATGAATTAAAGTACTTTAAGCTACAAGAGTGTAACACTGCTTACACTAGTGCAAAGAAGATGGACTGCAATAGCTCCCAGACTATTGCAATTGTCACTTCTACTGTGTTTGCCAGACATGCCCCTAAAATCTCTTTACTTGATCTAAGATATGAAGTTTTACAAAATGTATTAGATCATTTCCAGGCAGGAGGTTAAATGCAATTCAAGGACTTTTCTAGTTACTGCAACCATCATTGTATAACCTGAGAGAAGGTATGGGAAGTGATCCATAGCAAAGCAGTTGGAGTCATCACTTTCTACAGGCTTTACTGATGGAGATTTCCCTAAGATAATCAGTAAATTGCTTTATACTCTTGAGCAGGTTTAGAGCCTGGGTCATTGGGAAAATCAATACCACTTTCAGGCTTGGCAACCACTCGCCAGGCAGTTTTGTTAGAAAGGAAAACAGGAGGTGAGTTATTGAAATATATAAGTGATGAAGAGCAGCTCTAAAGTTTTTGAAACTAGAGGGAGAATACACATCTTTCTTCTCCTCATTGGATGCAAAACGTAAGTAAAGTAACACAGCTTCACTGAATTCTGACTTGTTTACTGACTCCTAAGTCAACAACTCCTGGCTTACCAGCAGGTGCTACAGCTCACAGATCTGACAGCAGTTACTCAAAGCCAGCTTTGCGTGGCTCCTGCAATTAGTTTCTTAAGCCATCATCATCATCTTCTTCATCATCATGGCTTGACTTCACGAACGAAGATTTGGGAAGGGCTTTACCCACGCTTACTACAAGCGCGCTGATGACTAAAAAGGCCAATGTGAGACAGGCAAATCCAGCTGGAAAAAGCACAGCGAAAGCGCTCCTTGGGTGGTATAGGCAGGGCACAATTCTTTCTACATTGTCTTTTCTCCTCGAGACTCGTTCTCAAAGGAGTCAGCGGCATTATGTGTGGTGTGTCTCCATGTCTCCCGACTGGAGGCCAAGGTGGACCACTGATGGTAGTCAATACAGCCAAGGCTAAGGTGCTGTTTCAGGGAGTCCTTATATCTCTTCTTTGGGGCACTTCTCTTGTGGCGAGTTCACCGTAAAACACAATCCTAGGGGGAGCGGTGATCCTTCATCCTGGAGACGTGCCCTGCCCAGCACAGCTGCAATTTCAGCAATAGGGCCTCGATACTGGTGACCCCTGCCTGCTCAAGGACAGTAACATTTGACACAGTCAGTCCGATGGATGTTTAGAATTGTATGGAGGCAGTGCTGATGAAAGCAGTTTCTTAAGCACATAAAAGAAAAACAACCCCTCTTTTAGAAGGGTTTATAAATGAGAAAGGTTTTCTCAGTGCTGCTCTAGACCTGGTTCTGCTGGGTGATACAATCAAGGTGGCTGTGTCTTGGTGCTTTGGCTTTTTATTCCCCTTCTTTTTATTAGACTGCAACTTTGGGTCTTACTGCTAAAATCTCTTTGTGATGCTGGTGGGTTTTCTCACAGCAGTAGTGTTTTTATCTCTTCTTATAAAAGTGTCTGAGGTATTTGTATGCCTTTGCTGACTATAAAGGACATTTAAGTGAGGAGCCTAAAACATTTGAGTGATGGATGACTGTATCAAGAGGAGCTAAGATCCTCAGGAGGTATTGGCAGCTCGCAGCTTACAAGTGGGCTTGGTCTACACGAAAGAGGACACTAAGGACACTAAGAGGACACTAAGAAAGAGGACACTAAAAAGACATGGGAGCTGTGGTCGTGCAGTTTTTGTGAGGTTGTTTGGGGTCGGTTTCTGTTGGGTTGTTAAGAGGTTTTTTTGAGGGGTGGTCTCTAGTACACGTGTATCTATAGGAAATACACAGGACGGGACAGGGTACTCGAAAGAATGTCCTTTCTCCTGAAAGCAGTTACCATGTGTTCAGGCAGGTGTGTGTAAGCTGTGGAACAGAGGAGCTGTGGCTGCCCCATCCCTGGCAGTGCTCAAGGCCAGGTTGGACACAGGGGCTTGGAGCAAACTGCTCTAGTGGAAGGGGTCCCTGCCCGTGGCAGGGGCTGGACCTGGAGGAGCTTTAAGGTCCTTTCCAGACCAAACCAGGCTGTGTTCTATAACCTAAGAGTTGTGCAAGCCACACTTGCTTCTTGAAGCATTGCCTGTGAAAACCAAGTCATGTAACACCAGTCTGGTTTTCTTGCATCAACAAATCAGCACAGTAGGTTTCTGAGGGCTGACCTGTGCTTGTGTGTGGCTTCTGTTACACTTTGCTGCTCTGTGCCTGCAGGGGAGGTATCCCGGCTGAGGAACATGGCCATCACCAGAGGGCAAACCGAGCAGGTATCCGGGGAGAGCGCCGGTTGTTAACACGTCCATGTGTAAAGACCTGAGGAATGACCTGGACAGTGGGATTGAGTGCGCCCTCAGCAAGTTTGCCAATGACACCAAGCTGTGTGGTTCGGTTGATACCCTGGAGTGCAGGAATGCCATCCAGAGGGACCTCGACAAGCTTGTGAGGTGGGCTGATGCCAACCTCATGGAGTTTAACCATGTCAAGTGCAAGGTCCTACACCTGGGTCGGAGCAATCCCAGGCACAGCTACAGGTTGGGCAGAGAAGAGATTCAGAGCAGCCCAAGGAGAAGGACTTGG